AGTAGAATGGGGAGACAGAAACAATCAGAAATGAAGGCAAGTTGTCAAAACTGAATTAAACAATTGCCTAAATCAAATCAGAAATCAAAAGCAGATATGGCTAAGCAATATACTTTTACTGTCAACTGGCCAGTTTAACAAATGTGCTGTAATGTAAAGCATGGAGTCAAGTTCTTCAGTCAAAATTCCCCCTTTGCTCCATTGGAAAAGGACCAATCCCAGAAATGTCTGAATGTACTTTGTGAATCGTACATGGTTCTAACTTTGTTGTAACTTCTCCCATACATCTCCAGCATTTCCACAGTTTGAAATATAAAACTTCCTATCTCTTTGGGAAGCTACATCTCTTGAGCTGCAGCATGTACTTTTTCAGAAGTCTCTCTCTCTCATCCAGATCCCAAGGAACTGCAAGCCTATTAGAAGTTTTATGTTTTCAGACTGCATTTCCGAAAATGCAGTCACGTTGCCAATCTCTGAGCCAGCAAAGACCGTTTGAAGACATATCTTTTTGGCCTATCCTTGTTCTCATTCTTCCTCCTCCCATACTGGCTTCTGGCACAGCAGATGAAAGCCATCTAGCCTTTTGCAGACAGGACAATGCGAAAAGTCATCATGGTACAGAAAGAAGCAAGAAACCAATAGCAGGTAACACCAAGTGTCCATGTGGAGCCCTGTGATTGACAAGTACTACACACATGCAGGTGGATTTTCAAAGGCACCCAGTGATTTTGTGAGGTTGAGCAGTGATGTCATTGAAAGGCTACTGTGCAACAGCATCTTATTTTAGAAATAAGTGAAGAAAGAAAAGGTACTGGAAACCGACACTGCAAATCTTCAACTTAATATGAGTCTATTTAAATGATGAGAAGGCAGTTTTCTCTCCTACTCCCAAACTGACTCTTCCTTGCTTTTTTTTTCTGTGAATCTGTTTTGTCTGGGTGAAGAAAAATGTCTGTGGGGCAGGTGTTTTGCAAAAAATAAAGCCATTGTTCTGTACTGTTAAAGAGGCTTTGTTGAAGACAATTACCACTTCACAGTGTAATGCTCAATGAGGCACCTCAGGTCTATTGAAAATTCAACCATACTGACATTTTAGGATTCAGCATTGTAATGTTTCTATTACTGTACAGGGTGGGGTGACGAGATGCTATCAGAGTTAGTTTGTAATATCTCTAGTCTAGGATAAAAAAAGTCTTCCACAGAGGAAGCAGTAATTACCTCCATTCTCTCATTTTTCAGAGACTGTGAGAAGAGCTAGTATTTTTCTCAATCACTGCAGAAAAGTATTTTTGAAAGAAACCAACTCAAAACTCAGGAAAGGAAGTTAGAGAAGAACTGATGTTTCTGAAATAATGAAATTTTCATAACATGAAAAAAATAATCAAACGGTATTTTAACAAATTTTTTGACATAGATCTCAAAGTAGTACCTGAAAATCTGACTTGTTCTCAGTTACAGATTTCCTTTGTTTCTTTGACTACAGTTAAAAGAAAATACTTCATATAATGCATTCTACAATCATTGTTTTAATTGTTAGCAAGCAGCATTGTTTGGAAATAGTATCATACATACAGATGAACTTGTATACAATATATAAAAAAGCACAGTAATAAACACTAAAATATGCATATTGGGTTAGCAATACATCTAGTAAAGCTTCAGAAAGATTAACTAATGCCTTACCCCCACACACACTGCAAGAATTTAAGAGGAGGCATATACAATTTTGGTTATTACTCAAAACAAGCTTCGAGTATTAGGCCTGAGAAATAATGAACAAAAATTGTGCTGATTTCCTGACTAGAAGGAGTTAGCCTGCCTGGGAATACCTTTCCTGAACCAAAAGAAAAAAAAAAAAAAAAAAAAAGCTGTAGCTGTAGCTTGCAATTCTGCTAGAAGGCAGACAGCTTCATGCTTTCCATACCACATATAGCAGTTTAAGACACCGAGTCAAGACTATGAATCAAACACAAGCACCAAATCTACCATAAATTAGATTATTATTTTGCTGATAGTGTACCTGTATCATCTAGGAATGTACACATCAGACAAATGCCTTCAGGAAATAAAAGCCTTTAAGCTTTTATATTTTGTGGGTCTAAAATATTTCTGAGTTATCATTATTCAAGACTGATCAGAGGAGAGGAATGGAAAACTCTGGCTGGCAACCAGGAAGAATTAGTAGCATAAAATTTAAGAGGAGTTCTGAGAAAATCTGTGTTTACACAGAATTAAAGCATTGGGAGTGAGAAGAGGTGAAATGGAGGAGGACGAGGCAGTGTTAGAGGCAGTTACGGATAACAGTTTCCTAAACTACTACAGACAGATTTACAAGCTCATTTACAATTGCTCCTTTTTGTGTCAAGTCTTTCAAGGAGCCACTGAAGTCTTCTACAAGGCCACTGCAGTCAGCTAGAGCAGGCAAGCGGGATGGAGCTGGTCTGCACTGAACTTCAGAAGTTTTCTAATTTGAATGCTGCACACAAATTTACGTTACATACTATAGGCCTGAACCATGCTGGCTCACATTCAGACCTTCAATCTGTTACTTTCCCTCTGGAGTGCTAACAACTGGGGATTTTTTTCAAGTAATTAGCTGAAATAATTTACAGATTACATCCATAGACCTTCTTGTTGCTTTAAATATTGGGGTAGCTGTATACCTAGACCTGAAGGTAGGGGAGTTGGGAAATAAAATTTTAAGTTCATCTGGTTCTACAGAGTTACAAACAGAACTAAATAACAGCAAGTGCATTAATAAGGACAAAAGGAACTGTAAATTGCTACACTGCATTAGTACTTCGGCTTTTGAAATTATAAGACTAGCAACTAATTCTGAAATCCAATTTGAATTTCTAGTGTACTATTCACCTTAGAGAAGTCACTGCAGAGTTACAGGCTACACTGTTGTGACAGAGACAGATCTGTGCTGTAGCAGTCCACCCAGTTTGAAAGAAAAAGCAATTTAGAATTACGTTTGGCTCATGAACTAGCCATAAAAAAAACTACTTCCACAAAGTGCCACTGTCTGCCATTATTGCCCTTCTCCTGAGAAGGATATTGGGAGCACCCCCTCTCTGGAGCTCGTATCCAAAACAGACCCTGCTCAACTAAACTCTCACTTAGCTTGCAGAATGGTTATTAGTCTGACAGTGTGCAGGTGTATATGGGAAAAATCAGCTCCAATCCCATCTGCTCTTTCAGCAAGAGTTGGTGCAGTCCTGAGACAGATTAGAAACTTTTGTATGGGTAGTCTTACCTGAGATTTTGCAGCAACAAGCTTCAGTCATTGTGTCTATTTGACTACCTATGTTGACACATGAACTGATTTTTAAAAAGAAAAAAAAAAAAAAAAAAAAAAAAAAAAGAAAAAAAAAAAAAATTTGTCAAAAAAAAAAAAAAAAAAAAAAAAAAAAAAAAAAAAAAAAACCAACAAACAACACATAAACAACGGTGTTCTAAAGTGGAATTACTTACTTTCTTGTGGTCTGAAGCTTTGCCAGCCTTGCATAAGGTATCCCCAGCAGAGGAGTGTGAATGGAAAGAAAGGGCAGTAAGCCCTCCTAGAAAATTTATTCTGGATGGGATGGCAATTGGTAACTACAGCCTTGACCACCATACTCTGCTGGTTTAATCCCAAGTCTGCACTGACCACGTACCTTGAAAATGTCCTGCTGTGAATGCTGACAAAGACCTGTGCACTGTCCATGGCACCGAGATGCCCAACAAAAAAAACTGTGAAAATCCTTCTTTTAGGCAGCCTATCTAGGATTTTCAGACGTGCATTGACTACTTATGCACAAGGGCCTTCAGGAAAACAAAAAGTGTCTTTTAATGCTGAGATTTTCAACAACACTTAGACATTGTTTAGACTGGTAACCAGTATGTGCAAGAGGAGTGAATCTAGACAACAAACATCTGGAACCAAGCAGCAAATGCTAGTTACTTGTGTTTCATCACTTGGGGGCTGTTTCAGACAAGAACTTGTCTGGTCCCATGGGCTGAATGATCATTAGTGATCAGAGTATGTTAGGTGTGTTTTTGCAAGGCATCCTTCAGTTTGGTTTTGTCTGTTAGTAATGGGGGTACTGCACTCTGCAACTGCTCTGGGCTGTGTGAAGCCTTTCCATAGACCCTCCCTGAAAAAGCTTCTCATATCTCTTTGAATGATTAGCCATCCCCATCATACTTACCTGTGTACTGATGTCAGCAAGATCAGTTAGTAGTAGCAAATACAGAGCGTGTAGACACTGAACCAACGATGTCACAGACTTAACAAATCAGAGAAGCGAGCTTTCAGACCCCGAGTTCTAGAAAACCTGCACGTTGCACATATTTTTCTTTTGAGAGGTCAATCAGGAAAAGAATGTAATTTTAGCAGATACACTTCAAACCTCAACAGCAAACAGAACCCCCAAAAAGTAAATTCTCATCATGTATGTCTTCCACAAGGCAGATTTAAATGAGGTAAAGATCTGGCACTCAATACTTGAATATTTTTTTATTTGAAACTAGAATCTATGCATTACAATGGCTCCTTAATTGGGTCTGAAAATGCCTACCAGTCTTAATGAGCAATGCCTGTACACACACCACAGATAAAATCATGCAAAATCTGTTAGAGTAAGACATAAGCCTGGATCAATATTCGGTTAAAAATACATATTCTTCAGATCAGAAAATCTATGCTTTTCATAGCAATGTTAGATTGGCTACACTAATATTCACACCATTATTTTGCTTTCTTACATGTAAATCATAGATTAGCATCTCCTTTAAAGTACAATATGAAGCCAGTCAGTTTTGTTTTCTCCATAAAAGGTACTCCTCACTTCTATCTAAAAGTAAGATTAGGTTTGAAATAACTTCAGGTTGGCCAGACTTTAACAGATCCTCTGTTCTGAGGACTCAGACATAAGCATATGAGAGCCAAAAGTGAGTTACAGATTGCAATGAAAAAGCTCAAATTTTTTCCACAGTCAAAAATCACACCTCTTAAATCATAATGACATTTCTTGTTTCAAGTTGTGTCCATTTAATTGTGTCGTGCTAGTCACTGTGGTCCTGGTATTGCTTTTCAGAGAAGCCATTTGAATGGCAGAAGAGCTGCGCAAGTAGCTGGCAGATCTCTCTTCCCGAGCTTTCCTCCTGCAGTGAAGCTGGTTGTTGAAATGTCTTCTAAAACTCTCGCTGAGAAAATACAGTGCAAATGGGTTGACACATGAGTTGCAGAAGCTTAGTACTCGAGCCACTAAGGTAACAATCATATGTCCTGTCGATGGATCAATCTTACTGTAATTAAAAGATCGGTACATGTATAGCACGTGGTTAGGAAACCAGCAGAGAGCAAAGAAGCCAACAAAAACTAGAACAATTTTTGCCAGACGTTTCCGAGTTTCCATCTAAAAAGATGAAGAGAACCCAAATGAACAACAATGAATAGAACTACTCCACATAAGAGACTTAATTAAAACATAGCATTTTGCTTTATGTTAGCTTTAACAACTGTCATAAATAAGGCCAGTAAAAATGCTTCCTTCAGGGGCTGAATAACTTTTTCTATCTCACTTACTTTCTTTCTCTAATTTCACTTTATTTTCAGTCAAAGATCCTATCTGTTTGCAGTTACAGAAGGTTGCTCTTTCTACATGATATATGCAGCAAGAGTGATTTGTGACTCAAGTAAACATTGGCTTTTAGCCTGAAAGCACATACCAAAGGATGCCATGAAACATAACTTTTCTGATGAGATCTCATGCTTGGCTTGAAATTAGTTTTAGTTAGAAAGCTATTTAGAAACCATTGGCTTTGAAATCTAGAGACAGTGTGGGTGAAATGTAGAGACATTGCTAGGGTATTAGCCATAAAATGGTACTTACATCCCATTATTTTCCCAAAAATTACTCAGTTTGCACCTCTTTATATAGATATCGAGGATGGCTGAAAAGTTGACAGGAGCCTACACAAATGGTTTCAAACAGGGAGGGAGAGAAACTGGCCAGGTAGAGGACATCAAAGGAGGCAGAAATTTTCTATATATTCCTTCCAAAAGATTTATTATGTATGTCAGGTAACAAAGTTTTGTAAAAGCAGGACAGTTTTCTGGCTTTGCTCAATTTTCTGAAAAAAAAATCAAGTGAATTTATCCTAACAGGGTTTCATTATTTGTGAAAAAAATCTCTACATAGCTTTCTTGGCTCTTTCTAAACCAGAATCAGTAAAGAAATCACAAAAGATGGGAACATTAACATTCCGATTTGGTGGGATTTGCACAGGCAGACTAAAAGGTGTAGAGGTATAGTGTAAATATTACACTTCTGTGCTATGGCCTAAAGAAACATGAGTTGACAGCAATAGTCTGAATTCACTTCCTCTTGCTGGGAGATATGTAAGTACATTGGAATTTTCCATTCTTCTGAGCCTCATAGATTAACAAAAAGAGAAAAAAATAAGTAGAAAGAAAAAATAGGTTCTTACTTTGAAAATACATGTGCGTTCAGAAATGTGATATAAATTAAATATTGTTTCCATCCTTGAGGGTTCAGCCAAAAGGCTCTTTATATTTCACAGGCAAATAAAATAATACATGAAGCACTAATATGTAGCTATTTTTTTCAAGAAACAGGCTAGACTAGAAATGAATTGCTGAGCAAAAGGACACGAGGGAATGTGATCTTTCTTTTTAAAAGTATAAGTACACACTATATATGCAAGAAGACTTCAGTGAGTATAAAAGCATTTTTTAAAATACCGGCAGAAAAATCCCTTCCAAATTGTTTTAATGGGCATAAATATTTTTCTCTATCAATACTAATGCATTTGTAAATTGGTAGAGGCACTTTCACTGCAGTTGTTGTTGTTTGCACATATAAACATTTTTGCTAATAAACAGCTTGTTGCTACCTTAGTGCTTCCTGTGCCTTATGGGGAAGCTGGCTTTGTCCAGCATTACAAATGCTTTGCCTCAGAGGTATACCGAACCTCTACCAAAAGTTTTATAACTTCTATAATAGAAAGGGTATTAGAAAAGTGCAAGTTCAGGATCATATCCAAGAAAGATTTACTGAGAAAGCCAAAGAAGAATCAGTTCAAGCTCTGTGTTCATATTTTCAGCATTGCTTGGTCTGAGAAGAACCTTAGGTCCCCTAAGAAATTTTTTTCCTTTCCTATGTCAGTTTTTTGTTTTCCAAGCACAAATAAAACACGGACAACTCTCAAAAGTTTCATATAAGATTTTTTTTCCAAAACAGCTGCCTACAGATATAGGTGAAGCCACTAACACTAGCTACATTGTTTCTCAGTAGGAACACCAGTAACAGGTACAGTCACTACATACATACATACATACCAATCCCATTTGTGGTTAGGAAGAAGCACTGATGGCATTGAATTTATATCTTTCCTTGGTCGTACTCATTGACATACTGGGCTTAATACTGAGTAACTGTGGTAACAAGGAGATTTTTCAGATAATCATCTTAGTTTCTGCATGTAGAAACTGAACTAATTTGCTGTGAAATCCAACAATTTGGATATTATAATTCCTGTACTTTCATTTATAAGTGTATATAGCACAAAAATCTTTCATTGGGATGTAAAAACCAAATTGCTTACCTGTCTTTTGCAATGCTCACTGTATTCTCCAGGGATATTGTGAGCACTTTTTACTAAACTCTTTGCAATATGATAGTAATAGATACTGATAATGGCAAGAGGGATAAGAAAATACACAAGGAAAATCAGCACAGAATGGATCTTCGGGTGCATGTCATCCGTCATGGGGTATGGTATGCAGGCTGTGAAAGTGGCATTATCCACATCATTGATGTAGGCCAGTTCGGAGAACACTGCTTCAGGAACTGATAGGAGCATGGAGATTACCCAGATGACAATGGCTTTAAGACAGGTCCATAGCACTGCACTGGAGGCCTGGATGTCCATGGGATTTACAATTGCTTTGTACCTGGAATTGATCAAAATGGAGATGCAAATTAAAAGGTATTTTTTCAAGTTCAACATGTGATACACAAAGCCACTTCACACCTTTGATTAAAATAGTGTGATATTTTGCTCTTTTTTGAAATGTCAGGGGGTTTATAATCTTTCTTAAACTTGCATTCTCTGAATCTCTAGCTTCATCTGTATGTATACCCATCAGAACTGGGTATACATATTGGGTATACACAGCAAAAAAATGCTGCTGTGGTAACTCTTGCCTTTCCACATCAGCACTTTTCTACACACACATATACTGTCCTGACTGTAAGGTCTGCAACATACACAGATTCACAAAGTCAGGCAAGAATGACTCCTAACAGCCTGAGCAGAAGTATTAAACTCTTAAATAAACATTTTCATAACAATAGTTGGAAGCTGCAGCCCTATGCTTCATTTTGGGAAACTGTCTCACAATATATGATAATATATAAACATTTGCAGAATTAATACTTTCATAACCATTACAACGAAAACAGGAAGAATTGTAGAGAATGGAAATATCACACTACAGCAAAGTAAAATAAATGAATAGAAGTAGACTTTGGTCACAAATTCTTTTATTAAAAAAAATGTTGCACAAGATTTTTTTTTTTCTGAAATTGCCTAAGTTTTGAGAAGTGGGGAAAAAAAATATTTTTCTTTGGTATCTAAAGAAAAGCTTAACAAGAAGAAGGGAGTCACAAGAGATTCATACTCCAGGTACATGACTTTATTCACCTTAAAGTCTTTCTAGTCAGTGGAGATGTACATTCAAAGGGTGATTCAGATTTTAGGGTGAGGTGCACCTCGCCCTCTGAGGTGTTTATTTTTCTCTGCTAGCTATATGATGAGCTTAGAGTGAGAAGAACTGTAAGTTGGATGTCTCTGCTTGGTGATAAAACTCCTTATCTGTGCATGTAGATACATACACATGCATATACGAACATAAATATGTATGGGTATGAACAGGTGTCTAAATATATACCAAGGGTTAGGTTACAGCTAAATATAACATAGTTGCTGAAGGGAATGCTGAGAAATTAAGCTTCAATCCCAAATACCCATTATGGCTGATGGTCCCAACGGGTACTTCATAGCCCGTCAACAACCTGAGCAAATACTTGAGGAACTGAGGACAAAAGCTATATCCCCTTGGAGAAACTTGTGAGTTTGCTGGTATCCAACAGTGCAATTGATTATGTCATGAAAATGTCTGGAGCAGAGCACTGTCTTGGTACCCTAGCAATCTTTTTCTTCAGGGAACATTTGAATCAAAATGTGCCTTGGAGTCCTCTTTCTCTGGACTGTACTAAATCATCTTATCACTAAATAATTTAAAATAATGGCTATTTATGTCCATATCCTCTCTGAATTCAGACATTCAGACATTTTTATTGTGTCTTCACCCTCATCATAGAGTAGAAAATAAAACTCAGTAAACAGTCTCTGTTAATTTATGTTTACCATTTCTTCTAACACAGAGAAAAATCCCTGGACACCAAGGTGTAAAGAAATCCTTTATACTGCCATAGGAAGGATAGAAGCTTCTACACAAAGCCTGAATGCTCCCCAGCACAAACTGTGACCTTATTATTCAATAATTTGCTTCCTATTTCTGTCTGCCTTGATTTCATTACATAAAGACAGACCTTTAATTTCATTTCATTCAACTGAAGTGACGTCAAGTCCTTACATCTGCTTATTTCTTTAAAACTTTACATTGCTGGAGAAGAGCTGGTTTGGGGACTTTGGCGCAGGGGTAGGCATGACACGGAACAAAAGTAGTATGTGGTACTAAAGGGGTTTTTTTTCTCTCTTTTCCCATTACAGCCTCAAACTGTTTTGACCACAGCTCTATGACCCAAGACAATGACTGTGTCACAATTAATTCTTTTAGCAGCATTTTGTCTGGTTAATATCCAAATGAGAGACATTTTCAGAAGCCTTAACAGTAGCAGAAGACATGGTATATATTTGTGCCTTGGAATATATTGCTGCTTCACCAAACAGCATTCTTTCCCCTGAGCTATGATTGACTCAAATTTGGAAGGCATTGGAGCAGAGTGACTTTTTTCATAAAAACAGCTGAGTTCATGCCCAAAAAGAACTTCTTCTTTAATCCTACCAAAATTCTACTTATTATTTCAGCTGACTACAAAATGACACTCTTCTTCCTAGGACTCAGCCCTGCACAGTACTCAGTGTTAAAGAAATGGGAAAAGCACTAAGTGCTTTATAAAATCTTGTTTACGTTTCTGAAAACATATGGAGAGAGACAGGTGACACATAAAATCAAAACTAAACTAAGCAAAATTAGATGTGTTCCCAAAATGAATACCCAGCCTCTTCCTTTGTATAAAACCAGTGTAAGGCTAAAACATACCACCAACAATTCAAATTATGAAGTGCATATTTTCTATGAGTAAAACAACTGGTAAATTAGTGGAAGGGTGCAAATTATTTAGTCAAATTGGTAAGCAAAATCCATCTTTTCTTTTAGTTCACTGATATGAAAAAAATTGTAGGCTGCCACAAAGTTCAGGAAATAATTATAAATATGCATTTGGTTTTAATTAAAAGCCTTCATGTAGATTCTGTCTTCCTACATTCACTATCATTATCATTGGTGACAAAGGCATCCCAACTCAGGAAGTACTTTTTAAAGTTTTGGAGCTGTGATTTCTGCCAACAAACACAAACTTGCCCATTCTGCAGACTGGCACGTTTTTTTTTGTATAGTGTATCTGTGTTATAAAGCAATTTCCTTTGTTCTACACAACCCAAAAAACTGCTGGAAAAAAATTCCTCTTCCTTCTGAGTTATAATATTTCTGCCTTCTATACTACAGCATAACTTCTCTACTTCTCCCCATCTTTGTTTTCAAAGGCTTTTGTAAAAGTGCTTCTCTGCTCCCAGATAGAACGGAAAGCTCTACTTCTGTCTCTGCTGCATACACAATATCCTCTTAACTTCAAAAGAAGCTACTCCATGATTAGTCCTAGGGTGTCCCTCCATTGCAGTGCTACCTCTTTTTCTAGAGTACTTTGTTATGATGACCTTCAAAAAACCCAAAACCCAAAACCACTAGACAATACTTAGGCAGCCACTGGACTATGACTATAATCTACCATTCTAATCAGAATTCCCTCAATATCTCCTCGCTGTTTTGTTTTTGTATCTTCTGTTGTCTCCACTTAAAATTGCTGCAGGTCAAGGACTTTCTTCCTCTTCCTGTTCATATAGCACCTTTCTCAAATAGGACCTTAATTTATCACCTGTTTTCTTATATACCATCACAATGCAAAAAAAAATGTATAATAAAGTGTCACAAACCAAGCAGAGAACTACTTCAGGCAAGGCACAGCCATACCACTTTTTTTTAATTTGCATCTCAGACCTGCAGCTAGAGGGATTGATATTGTTCATGTTATTATAAAGCTTCTGTTTTAAGTGGTGTTGCTGTGTCAGAGTACTTAATTTCCTGCAAACTAGAGTCATTTACCAAAAACATTCACATGCTAACATTTTATTGTGTCATTGCACATTTCAAACACAAAAAAAGACAGCATTTAGCCTAACAATATAAAAGGATATAAATATATACGACTAGGACACATGGATGTGTGTTCAATATTTGTTAAAAAAAATAGTACTGTGTCCAGTTGTGGTCCACACCACTAAAGGAGAGTGAAATTTTGGATGGAGCCAAATCCCTTTTCCTTGTATGGGCAGTTCTGTTGATTCAACTCCAGTTGAATACTTAAGAGGAGAACAATTTATCTAGCTGAGAACAATAGCGAAACATTTGATATCCACTGTTGCGGGATATTCTTTCACAACAAACAGTCTGAGATGCACATTTATTCTATTGTTGTGGTGAGCAGAGCCCGCCCTAGGCAGGGATCAGTGTGCGGAAGATCTCGCGATGTAACGGAAAGCTCAGACTGCCCACGAGGGGCCTTGTGGGCCTGGCTTGTGCTATATAAGCAATTGCAGCGACGCAATAAACACCATTTGCAACATCCTTCACATTGAAGCCTGTGTCTGCTGATGGTACCCAACGGTAGAGGTTGGGTGGCAGAGATCCCGGGGTTCGGGTGGCGGTAACGACATTCTATTTTATTCTCATAAATTCTTGCAATATAAAGTAGATTTTTTTTTTATAGTTAATCCAAGTATTTTTGTTCTGTGCTTATGTCTTAAGTGCAGAGAATTACATTCACTAGGAATGAGCATCCCAGCGATCTGATAGCTGAATATAATTAACAGTATTTGAAAAAAGACTAGCAGACCATGTGTAAACACAATTAAAACGAACATCAATGGCAAGTGTTCTGTGTTTCTCAGGGGGGAAATCATAAGATTTTCCTAAGTGGAAGAAGTTTTCCACTTTATACATATATGCTCTGTTGAACCAAAAACTATCAATAATTCTTCAACAAAAAAAAAGTCTCATTTAGTCTTTTGGATTATATTTTCTCCACCTTGAAAATGAATCAAAACGTAAGTTTCCCACAATGTGGTCGGGTTTTTTCCTGCACAAAATATATTACCTGTCTCATCCACCTATTGTTTCAGAGAAGAAATTTCCTCTTTCTTTTTCATTTTCTCTTCTCTTTCTTTCTTCTGACATTCACCTCATATTAGCTAGCTATATTTATTACAAGCTCATAGAAAAGTTTCAGTGCTAGCTCACTGCCTGCAAACTGGCTTTTTGATTGTACTTATCTAAACCCATTTACTTATAATCACACTAGTTATAAGTACCACCAGCAATTAGATCAATTTTCCTCCTGAGAGCAGTAATAGTATAGTTTCACTGGCTATTATTCAGAAAAGTTCATATATGGCAGTATTCCTAGTAGATCTATATTTAAGTTTGATAATTCCAAGTCACTGCTGAACATATTTTTACATAACTTAAGACAGAAAAATATGTCTTCAGTGGAATTGCAGTTTCTATAAGTTTCTGAGAAGAGAGAAAGA